GTACACGTTGTCGTGTCAACTCTGTCCGGTGAATCCACAACGGGGGAACTAATCGCATGGTCGACCAGCGACATGTAATGACGGAACGTTTGTCCTGCATAGTTCGCTACGGGCATATTGTTTTCAGGTGGATTGGATGGTAGTAAGTTTTGTCCTATCTCTTTGGGCTACTGAAGTAACTTAGACGATTGTTCGAACGAGACTGAGAACGACTGATAAATCTCAGCATCTCCTACCGAGTGTCGGCGACACTGAAATATTTAAACCGCAAAATTCAATAAACAGTAAAATGTATGTTCAAATAGTACTTGACAAGTGTCAATATAAGACCTATATGAAAAAAAAGTGAATAAATTCGGGTTTTTTTTGTATTAACGAATTGTTCGTCGTTCACATGAAAATATAAACATTGTGTTTGTGTTCAAAATTCAATCTTTCTACTTTAATCTCATTGAAACAGAAACGACACTATCAAAACCCTTTTCTATCGTTATACGAGTTAAAATTTATTTAATTGTGATTTTTTTGTCTGGAAAACTATGGCTTAACGATGCCTTAAACTATCTAGACCATATTTGAAGTTGACACTGAAATATTTAAAAAGCAAAATTCAATAGAAAGTAAAATGTATGTTCAAATAGTATTCCACAAGTGTCAATATAAGAACTATATGAAAAAAAAGTGAATAAACTCGGGTTTTTTTTGTATTAACGAATAGTTCTTCGTTCACATGAAAATATAAACATCGTGTTTGTGTTCAAAATTCAATCTTTCTACTTTAATCTCATTGAAACAGAAATGACACTATCAAAACCCTCTTCTATCGTTATACTAGTTAAAGTTTATTTAATTGTGATTTTTTTTGATGACACAATGCCTATAACCAAATAACCAAATAACCTAACCTAACATGATGACAGCTTGCGATCCTAGACATGGGCGTTACCTGACAGTGGCCGCCATTTTCAGAGGAATTATGTCCATGAAAGAAGTTGATGAACAAATGTTGAACATTCAGAATAAGAACTCAGGGTATGTATAATTAAAAAACTAACGTTTGCCAATAACTTTATAATTACTGGTAACTTGGTTTTATGCAATGATGTATTGATTACTTAAGTATTAATAACCACAAATGATGAATTTGTTAAGATATTTCGTGGAATGGATACCTAGCAACGTTAAAGTCGCCGTATGCGATATACCACCTCGAGGCCTCAAGATGTCGGCAACGTTCATCGGTAATACTACCGCCATCCAAGAAATATTCAAACGCATCTCCGAACAGTTCACTGCCATGTTCCGCCGTAAGGCATTCTTGCATTGGTATACGGGCGAAGGTATGGATGAAATGGAATTCACCGAAGCCGAATCCAATATGAATGATTTAGTATCCGAATA